GACTGCCTGTTTGGTATTAATATATTGCTGTGGCAAGGGGTTGGCAAAAATAAAGGAGAAAATCCCATAGTTCATAGCAGGAAACCACCTTGACAGTTAATCTTAAATATATTTAGAGAACTGTGGAGAAGAGTGGCCAGCAAAATATCAAATGGCTATTGGCACTCTATTTACAAAACTCAGTGTAAAGGTGGGTGGATTTAAATTGATTTAGTGGACAAACTCAAACATTCATTACCAGGGATGATGATGTGATTAGCTGATTATACATTTGCTTTACACGGTAGTTAAACAGATGTACTTAATGAGGTGGTCAAGATTGCAGAATGAAAACAGTGGCCTGAAAATCGAATCCTGAGGGACTCCACATGTCCCAGTTGTCATAATACACTGTGCGACAGGCAGGTTAGGACAGAAATATACAGAAATAATAGGTAAATAAAATAAAAGGTAAAAAAAAAAGTTTTATTGAGAACTTAGGAGCAAAAACAGAATACAAAACTCTGACTAGATGCGAACTGAGAACTTCCTGAGAACTGTGGAACCAATACAGACACATGGAGTCCACAACATGAGAACAAATGAAGACAAAACAATAAATACATGCGCAGGACAACGAGAAGCTATGAAGCTATGAAGGCGGGGAAAAGGATAGATGGCTACACTCAAGGAAGATGAGACAAGGTAAGCAAAACTAAAGCATAATACACACAAGACAAAAAATAAAACAGGAAGTGACAAAACTCCAGACACAGTGATGGAGGCTTGACAAGACACAGCCGAGGCAGGATTTCTGTCTATTATTGTTTACCTTATGATATAAAACATGTTGAGGTGATTGTTATTGTGAGTTGGTGCTATATAAAAAAAACTTAAATAGACTAATGTGACTGCAAACTCCTACAACACAAAAATTAACAGTGCAATATTGTTCAGTGACATGTGGGTTGTGTGTGTGCATGTGTTTGTGCAAGTGTGTATACTGACCCTGCAGTTACTGAGCTCCTCTGCAGTTAAGATAATGACTCCACACTTCTTCCCAGGAATCCCGCTGAGAGCGTAAATAGATGGAGCGAGAAACAGAAGGAAAAATTGCAAAAGAGGGTAATTGTAGCCTGCCATAAATAATACAAGTGCCAAGCAGATGTCATTCATAGGTTTAAACTGCTGTTATAGAAATGCTCACACAGTGACTTACTTTCCGATGGGCAAGCCATTTCTAAAAATAAGTGGCAATTACAACGAAAAAAAACTTTTTAACAACTGTAGTGTATTGAAAACAACATTTTTTGCAATATACATGTGAACAAATCCATCCACTTGATCTGTCCCTTTTCTTTTCTACAACGTGTTCAAGGTTAAAGATGGCAATGATTTAGTGATGGGTCGGTCGCGAACAAAATGGCTCTTAGAGCCGG